GTGGCAAAGTCGAGGGGAAGGATAAGACGTGTTATTTTCACACACACACACATACATACATACATACATACATACATACATAGATACATACATACATACATACATACATACATGCACGTCTATGAATGCATGCCTGCATACATACCTACATCAGCACATACATACATATCTGCATGCCTGCATACAAGCAACAATTGTTGACTTAGATGCTCTGCGTAGTCAGAGCTGCAGAGAGCGGAAGCCGGCAGGTGTGTGACCATGTCACAACCAAACTTACAGACCAGCATTTGACTTTGACACTTTGTGCAGATGTCAGCTGTGAACACTCCCAGCATTGCGTGGATCCGACACTCATCATGAAACAACTGCATGCATGAACAACTCTGAGTTGAAGCGGCTGAAGGCTTGGCCAAATTAACAGTGAATCAACTGCTCAATGTTCAGAGTAAACATGAAAATCAAACCTCCAATGGCTTGCAGAGCATTTTTTGCAGATCTCTTGGAGTGCTTTGTGTGTTGCGAATTGATTGGGTGGCTGTACTGAATGATGTAAAGGAAGCGGCGTTCAACACCACATTACCCGGCTACAGTGCTACACCTCGCTGAGGAACCGAGCCAAAGCAGCACGCTGCATGTCTGCATTCCTGCAGGCACACACACAAGCAAACAATCAACAACCAACAAACAACCAAGCGCCAAAACCAGAAACAAAGACACACACACACACAGACACACACGCACACAACCATTAAGCCAGCAAGCAAACAAGCGAGCGACCGACCGAGCAACCGAGCCAGCGAGCAAACAAACAAACAAACATACATACATACATACAGCACATACACGCCCGCATAAACACATAAACACAGACACATACATGCATGCATACATACATACATACATACATACATGCGTACCTTAATGCAAAACATGTCATAGTGTGACATAGTTTAGCAAGAGAAGCAACAAATGTAGACATGGATAGAAGGGTTCAGAATTACGTGCCAGATCGTTGTGACCAGTTGCCCAGCGGAGCTGCCGAGAACTGCCTCACCGAAGGGCTTGGGCGGCTTTGTGTGGCCGAGGAGCTAACAGAGTGCATCCTGGAAGCCGCTGGCAACTCTTTGAAGCTCAAGGTCGGGCATGTCGACATCCTGGCATGTCACAGAGCGGCTCACATCCTTATATGCTTTCCTCTCTCTCACAGGAGTTGAGCTCTGTCAGCAAAATCTGCAGCAACCTGGCCGCACACGGGCTAGTGCTGCCGTATTGCTGTTGGAAGTGCTTGCCCCTGTCAAAGGCAAGCTCCATGCGACATACGAAGAGCTTCAGCCTCGCCCTACGACAGAGGGGAACATTGTGCTTCGGTGATGCTTTGCACAGGTTCGGCACTCTGCTGGGCAGAGGCCTCCTCAAGGCAGGTAGTGAGAGAGCAGCCTGTGCTTAACATACACCCACCATTCCCTCAACAGTAAGGGACACCAGGACGCCAAACAGACCACATACAAGGAGTCAGGCGTTAAGCTCAGAAGACAGACCCGAGCATTTAGTGACGGCCGGTGGTTGGGTTCTTTGCCGTGGCGGGGAGCCCGAAGACGATGCGAAAGACGAACATGCTGGAACTAGTGTTTGGGCTCGGTCACAGTGTCCATTTCCTCCCTGGGCTCGGGGCATGGAGCAGGGCACGCACAGGAGAGAACGGCAGAGCTTCTGTGTCCTGAACCGGCCATGGGCCCCGTTTATGATTTTAGGGCCCCAAATAACCATCCTGGTTGTGCTTCTGTTACTTTTTGTGGGCTCTTGGCCCGAGAGTTTTGGCATGTTTTGGCGGTGGTGAAGCTCGGCAGGGCAGTGGCGGAGCAAACTCCATAGCCTGTCTGTGCGGAATGCCGCACCACGAAACAGCACACTTTCTGTTGATGTCACCGGCGCTCACTCTTTTGAAGCCGAAGCCGGCTGCGCCTGCGCGCCTCTCTGAGAGAGACGCATTTATCTGCTCTGTGCTCTGCTCGCAGAGGCCTTCGGCTCCACGCCCGCATCGGAGCTGAACCGGAGACGCTTTCTGCTTCGCGCCGCAGATGCACTTTCTGTGTAAAAAGCAACAGGGAATCCACGAATCCGAGCAACAACACTGGGGTGTAACTGTCTGAGGAATGTGTGCGGAGCTGTCCCTCATAGAGTGCGCACGAGCCCCGGCGATGTGTTCCTCTTTGAAAGCTCTTGCACAGACTGAGCTCCTTAGCCGATACCTACGCCGCTACGCTGATCACGCGCTTTCGCAACATGTAGCCTCAGCATAAACGCATGCCGCCAAATCCATGAAGCCAGCCGTATCGTACGGTGCCCATGCGACCTGCACCTCTTTGGATTCGGATCGCCGTTGAAGAATGCCGAGAGCTCCAAGGTACAAGCACCGAAGCCGCCACTAGTGGAGATGTTTACGGAGCCAGGGTCTTGTTGGTCTTGTCTGCGCAGGAGGTATGATCGCGGCGTGAGTAACCGTTGCACCTGGCTCTCGCCGAGGTTGTGCGATATCTCTGTTCCAGAGGAACAGGCTGAAGCTTGCTGTGCAAAGTCCAAGCTTCAAGAAAGACGTGCCCATGATTGTAGCCTCTGCATCAGCAATCACATGAGCGCACAGCTGGTGACGAACTTCACCATCATCTCCTCGCTCGCGCAGAAGCACGCAGTCAGCTGTCCTGGACCCAGCCTGCAGAGGAACTTCTGTGTCAGTAACAGCCTACGCAGCACGAGACAGGTTTCAACATAGTCCCGACGAAGCAGCAAGCCTATGCAGAGGTGTTGGGAAAGGACGGCTTGAAAAACCAAGGGTCACCCCAGCTCGACCCATGCGAAGATGTCTTGCACTTCGCAACAGGGGTGCCAAGCTTGAAAAGGCCAGCTGCCCTCGTGCTCCTGCTGGTGGATGCGCTCACAGTGGAATATCTTTCCTCGAACGTCCCCGAACAAAGCCAACGCAGTCCTCTGCAGCGCAGACTCTCTCTCATCAGGGACTTGTAGCTGGGAGAAAGTTCCGATCACAGTTCGACGTTCAGAGGACTGGCCGGAACGGCAATGTGTCTTGGAAGAGGCCAGGTCCTCTGCTACTTGCCTTCGCCGGTGCCGCGGTAGAAAGCCAGGCTCAAAGCTCGAACTTGTTGAGGCGTCTCGCAGCAAGCTTCAGCAACTTGCCGTAAATGTCCAGTCCCCAGAGTGCCAGCCTGCAGACAGTTTTGCAGGGTACTTCTGTCGTGGAAATCAACACACAAGAGTTGCAGGCATATCAGTCAGCTGCTGGGGGCCTCCTCAGAAGTGCTCACGGCAGATTGCTAGAGCAGGCCTCATGGGTTGACATTGCTGTGGAAGCTCGGAGCATCGATAAACCGCTTCAGCCAGAGCTCGTTCAAGCTGTGCATGGTCGCAGGAAAAAACAAACCAAGCCCTGCGCGTGGACAAGGGCCAGGCCGCGACCGAAATGCAGAACCTCTCGAGAGCTTGCCGCTCGTTTGCGATGCTCTGCGAAAAGGTGGATGCTGAAAACGAGCAGAAGCATACCCAGCTAAAGGAGGCTTTGCAGAAGATAGAGGAACGGCGCTAGCATCCAATACCTTTTGTTTCTGTCTTGACATTCCCTCCAACACAGTCGACGCTCACGACCTTGTCTGACTTCCTGAGCCAGACCGGAGCCGAGAGGGAACACGAGTGGCATCAGCAAGGATTGCGAAAGCTGATCGACTAAGGCCAATGCCAACCACTGTGGAAGAAGAGGAGCCCAATGTGCCGGTTCCTAAGAATTGCGTTTTCACCATGTGACATGGGCGAAGATGTTCTGAAGCCTACAGTCGGTGCGAGGTCACGCGTCGGAGCTGGTGAGAATGCCAAGGACGGGCTATGCTATGGGCACGGCAGCTCCGGTGACGCACGTGCACGTCTTATTCTGTGATTCAGGAAGAAGCGCCGGAAGAAGAAGAGGTCTTAATCTTCGAGGCAGATGTTTACAAGCCTTGACGTCCTCCTTGCGAGCTGAGCCAGCAGAAGGATTCAGAACAGCGAAAATTCTACGAAGACGTGGTCGACTTGAAGGAGTCATACGTTTCCACGAGCGAAGGATGCTGTTTCAGCAGGACTCTTGATGTGGTGACCTGTTGCCCCACGCAGGATATCATCCCCGCAGTGTTGCTGACCTCTGGCAAGGCAGCTCAGGATACTGGGGGCGATGACAAGGACGCACATGTTTTCCATCACGACTTAAGCAAAAGTGTTTGCCACACATGCGGCTCTACAGTCTGCAGTGATCGGGTCGAGGAAACCAAGCAGGAGAGACCGCCAGAAGAAAAAGAAAAGAAGGATCTGTCAGCAGCTTCAGCAAATCGGATTGCAAAATGGACATGGTCGATGGAACACGAATGTGGCTGCGATGGCTTCGACTGTGCTCAGAACCTCCATCGCTGAGACAGCCAAGGACTTTGACCTGTACCTCATGCGTGTTTCCAAAGCCGAATCAGCAAAGCAGGCCATTGAAAATGGGTTCAGATGCGAGTGATGTGGTTCTCAGGGTGGCAGGGTGGGAGGCTACATCTGGATGTTGCATCGACATAGGTGTTTGTCTGCTCCCGGACGCATCATCTTTAGAGGGTACTGTCTCGAGCGGCAGCCTCGCTTGCATCATGTCACAGTGGTGAAGAAATCGCCCGGATCTGTGGACGTGCGGTGCAGGCTAAAGTTACTAAAGTGACATGCAACCGTGAATGTGTGGGTGTTCCAGAAGTCTCGGAATAGTCTCAGATGCGCAGCCGACATCAGAAGCAACATTGTGTCAAACCGGCAGCCTGTGCATGTGGAGACATGCCTATGCGAGCTTTTGCGCTCGCAGTGGCTTGAGGTGGATGACATCGTGATTGAGTCTCTGACTTATTTGGCAGATTCACGAATCGACAGGTAGTTGAAACCTTGGTCTCACTCCTCATGATCTTTTTCGCAGATTCTTCCATGACTTTAACACGAAGTCGAATCGACAGCGCCTGGCAGTCGGCTACTTACTCAATGGTGAACTGCGCCAGCAAATGTCCAGCACATTTCAGCTTTTGGCTCTGGCTTGGATGGAAGGCACACTTCTACAATGTCAGGTTCTGAGTCGGGAAGCCTCTAGCTGTTTGTGGTGGGCCACAGCCGACTCTGGAATATGAGGCGCACAGGACAAAGCAGTCCACATCTCAGAGCTGCAATCTAGTCGGAGACAGCGCTTGCCCGCTAAGCGTGGCAGGCTGCACTTGCTTGCTCCTTACGCCCGGATGGCCGCCATGATGGGGCCAAGATCCCGGGTACAGGCATCGTTAAGGGCTTGGCAGCTGGTCCCGAAGCGTGTGAGGCAGTACGTCAAGGACATACCTCAGCAGCTGATGTCTTGGCTTCAGCACGACCTCGAGCAGGCGAGTGCAGGATCAGGACGCCTTTTGGTTTCAATTTTTCGCGTGAGATGTCCAGGTCATAGGGGATGCGAATCAGAATTTGCTGGAGCAGAAGGCAGTCATGAATTCAGATTGCGTCTCTGCAGCGACTTCGGACCTTAACATGTTGCAGGTCAAAGTCGTCAAGTATTTGTGCGAGCTGTGCAAGCAGCATGTCCAGAAAATGCGTTGAAATGCACTCTGATGACAAGCCCGTGGACAAGGTTCAAGATATGTCCTCCGGGCGTTGTGCTCGATGTCTTCAAGGCGGCTCAAGTCGCTTCAAGCAGCAGCCTTTGGTTGGCTCTTTTTGCGCTTCTCGGTTCAGACCCTTTGTGACGATTTCAACCAGCAGAATGCTGAATTGTGCGCTAACCTGCTGCAGCCCGTCCCCCAGACGCGCCGGCGGGTGGATTTTTGTCCTATCGAATCGAATTGAAGGTCCTGTGGCCGGTACCTGTTGTACAAGCCTGAGACAGTCTCGAGCTCAGCATCTCGGGATTCCGTCCTCGAGAGCTAGCATTCTTGGCCAGGCCATGAGAACAGACAACTTGCTGGAGCGCATGTCGAGACCTCGGGGACCCGGATGGCTGTGTGAGGTCGCGGCAGTGCGGTCTGCCTTTGCTTCTGCCTTTGCTCTCAGGGCTCGCCTCGCAAAGGCGAAGTCTTTGCCACTCAGGCACGGAGTAAGAGCTTGTGGCACTCTCTTTCACTCTGGTCGTTTGGTGCAGGTTGGAGATCATGCTAGAAGATGCTTTCTACCAGGTCAAGCCGCCTTGCCCCAGGAATCGCATTTTGCAGTCCCCATTGTCCCAAAGCAACTGGCCAAGGCCGGAAGGCAAACGAAAGCAGAAGAAAGAGAAGGACACTTTGTGCCAAGCAAGCAGCATGAGGGGCGAGTCGCGTTCAGGACCCCTTGGAGCAGTTTGTAGAGCATCTGATCTTCGACCGATTCCTCCTTAGCTGGCTTGTCTGCCAATCGGTTTGCCAAAGTGCTGCTTGTCAACATGAGCCCTCGACAAGGCCTCTACAAAGAGGAGGACGAGGACCCGTGAAGTGTTGAAGCTATTTTGATGCGTCTCCACCCTCATGATGACACGATCCCGAGGATCAACTGCTCAAGCTTGCGCGCAAGCTACCATGGGATGGTGGAGCCGGCCCGATTCATGCTTGCGCGACGCGACGGGGTTTCATCTTTTTGGCACAATGCATGCAGCAATGTCGACACTTGGCTAGGCTGCCCGTGCCTTGGCAGGTCCAGCTGTGGGATGGCTGAAGAAATGTTTGCTGGACGGCTGCCATTGCCATGCCTTTTGCCGCAAGCCTAACAAGCCTAAGCTCTTTTGCATCCGCTGAGCCGCGATTGCTTATCGTAGTCAAGATAGTCGGTGACCTGGCACAAGAGAGTTGGCCTACATGTCGAAAATGCTGTGGTAGCAGCAGATCATGAAGGGCACTCTGTGCCGCGCTAGCTCGCATGTAATTCTGCAAACCGTGTTCGTGCAGGACTTAAACCATCACGCCAACTACGAGAATTTGTCTTGTGCTGCGAGCTTAGACCAACTGATAGCTGATGACTCTTGTCGTCATGCCAATCGCAATCGGGCAGAGCATACTTGCTGTGACCACCCTAGGTGGCCTCTCTTTTGAGTGGCCTGGCCAAGTACCGCGATGCCTTCGTGATAGATGTAATCGATTCCCTCTTGGAAAACATCCAGGTGTGGATCAGTCCATTCGCAGTAGCTGGTAGTACATAGTTTGGCTGGCACAGGTGACCTTGGAGAGGAATGACTTTCGAGAGATGCCCTTAAGAGTCAGATTCTTGGAATGACCGTTTGTCGAACGCAGAAGCCGGGATTGCAGACCGAGGTTCGACAAGTGAAGCTCGTGGGTGAGCTGTACAACTACAGATTGGTCGATTCTGTCCTGGTTTTTGACTGCTTGTACCAGCCACGACCCACAGAAGCTGGAGCGACGAAGATTGTGGCCGGATAGTGCAGAGCAGAAGTTCTCAGGTTCATCGGTTTCGGGGGGCCGACATCGCATCGAGCTGGACAGTTCATCACTGCCGGGGCCCCTTTACCGGGCTCAAGCCGACACATCTCCATGTTCGGCTCAGGCACACAAGCTGGTGGAGAAGGCCTTGACCTGAGACCCTCAGACCCGGAAGCGAGAACTCACAAAGCGTCGACCGAGGGCTTGGTGATGAGGAAGGGTGGTCTCGGAAGCATCTCCGAAGAAGCGGAGGACATGCACAAGATCGGATTTGAAAGGGCATCCCATGCGTGTCCTCCTTGCCTATGACACCTGAACAGCCTGAACCTGTGCCTAAAGCCAGGTCGAGTGGTAGGCATAGTGAGGAATTCAGGCGGCGGTCTGCCGCATTTCACCGGTTGTTTACCTTTTAGGGTTTCTGTCTGCCGACTGTCTCCGGAGTACATGGCCGAAGATATAGTTCTGCTTGCGAAGATGCTGCGGAGGACAATGAAGATGGCGGACAGCCGCTTGCTCGGCATTTCGCAACAGCTTTGGATAGACAGGCCATCATAGGGCAGGCGCAGTGGGGATGGAACTGAGGCTCCCAGAGATACTTGCAGATCCACAGCATCCTCTCGAGGCACTGGACGTGCATGAGCCGATTCGCCATCCACGTATCTGAGCACGCCTGCCTTGCTTGACTGACTTGCCTCTGCTCATATAGAAGGCCCCCTGGGACTTCTTCAGGATTAAATTGGCTGCCGCCTCGGATTTATCAGCGCTCGACGAGGGTGCAGCCGGGAATCTTCAAACATGCAGAAGCTTTGTGGACTCTGTCCGTCGGACAGAGTTCCCTGTGTTGGAATGTGGACAGGAGCCCGAGGGCTTCAAGAGGGGATGTGCCGAAGCTCGCATGTTCGTAGAGCTTGGGTTGCTCGGAACTTGATTCAGCGACGTTTGTGCAACACGACAAGCGCAAGTCCAAGGTTTTACCACTGCTGAGGAGGAGCTTGTTTGTATCGACACCTGCAGCGACGCCCGAATGAAACTCTGAAATCGATGCAAGGGACCCATTTTTTGTGTAGCATTTTTTCGGGGGGGGGGGGGTCGACGACGGCGATGGCTACTACCACCTATTACTTGTTGTCAATGTTATTTACAATCATTGCTATTCTTACGGCGATGATTGTGACCATTATTCTTGTGATCACTGGTCTCATTCAAACTGCCCCCTCAAAACGAAGAAACGTCCAACCTCTCCCCCCTGCCTAACCCCGATGCAACTTTCAACCCCTCATGCCCCTCGACCCTCCCAAGCCGCCCCCGACCAAAGTACAAGACAACGGCCAAGAAAAATTATCCACTCGAGTTCAAATTGATTGTTCTCGTTATTTGTTATCTCCTTACCTTAATGTATATTCATGCCAGAGGCTAACAGACGACGGCTGTGTACAAGCGGACGGCTGCTGCCATGTTCCGACAGATCAATTTTCGCCAGGGGGTTTTGGCGTGGAAACGCAAGGTCGCGACCGCGTTGAGATTTGAGATACTGTATCGTAGAGGGTGAACGGCTGTCATTGCAGTTGCGAGTGGGTTCGAAGGGCAGCACAGATGCGAGTGTACCGGTGCATCGTGAACGACATGCTAGGCGATTTCCGCAGTCACCGGCCATCACAAACAACAACTACATGCCGAGAAAATGCAATCAACTTCGGTGTCGAATCTGACGTTCACACCGTCCTGCCCCCAGCATGAGCTTTCGTCTCCGGTCAGAGGAGCAAATTGCCGAAACAGTCCACAAAAGATTGCCTGGGAACACGAAGATTGCCGTCGTTCACAGGTTGCTCTCTTGAGCTGCAGAGATTCAAGCATCCCCTATATCTTGAACTATTGGTTTCCTTGTAGGCTTTTCCGGATGTAAGCGCGAGAGCCGGAGAGCCCGATGCAGCGCAGCAGGTCTGTGTTCTGCTTGAGACCTGTGGGCATTACTTCGACCGCGGGGCTGCGCTGAGCCCGGAAAGTTTATGACGTTAGGCTTCGCCAGACAGGACTACCGTGTGTTGATGGCTCTGAAGCACTAAGTCCAAGCAGAAGCTCGATCGCTTCTTGACCTTCTTCATACGCTATGTCCACAGCAAGGTGCTGCACCGTAGAGCTGCCCTGAAAGCCGGGACTTATCCCCCGTGTTCTGCATATCAGGGCGAGCTGCCGCAGCGCTTCATGAACATGGTCTACGACACCTTGGAGAGGCTTAGGCCAGTGACCAGTGAGGGTGGGGATTTGCTGCATAAACTTGACACTCAGGCCCAAGCTGACGTATCCAGAACTAAAGGCAGATGCGAACGAGGTGTGGCTGTGCTTGCACGTGGCTGTGCAGTGGCTCTGATTCGACGGCTTCTCTAGTGCTGCACGAGGCAGTGATGCGACAACTTGACAAGGAGAAGGACGATGTCGTTGTTGGAGGCCACAATAGGCCACATAAGGCGTAACGTAGGGAAAGCCTTGTGCGTTTTAGTAGTGTCAACTCCAGGTGGAAATGCAGACGATCAGGATGATGATGAGGAGATTACGGTAAAATGTCAACTTCAATGTATTCGAACTCGAATGTATGCCTTTTGCATTTAAAGTTTGAACGCGCGCCTGTCTTGCCGGTGTAGAGTTGCCGTTGAAGCCTGTGTCGGAAGGATGAGGAGGATGAGAGCTCAGATGAGGACGAAAGCGAATCTGCCGCAGCCTTGCGACCAGAAACGGTTCATAGTTGCTCGTCCAGCATGAAAACAAAGAACGTGCCGAGGACGATGGTGAGGAATCGTCAGAAGAGGCCTTGATGGCCAGACTTGGACGTGGTAGCAAGCCCACATGACGGGCAAGGCTATAAACGCTTGGGCAGGAGTCTGAAGAGGAAGATGACAGCGAGTCTGATGATGACGAAGCTGAGCTGCTGCCTTACTCTACAGCTCTTCCGAACCGTGCTTTCTGTCATGCTTATGGACCGAAGTGAATTGCCTGGTAATGAAGGTACGACCGAGGAGATCATGAACAGCAGTGCGGTCCTTGTTTCCAATTTCGTGCTTGCACTTGTAGGAGTAGGGCGCAGCTCAGACAAGACTAGATTGCCAACCTCGCAACTGAGGCATGCTGCCGAGGATGACTTCGACAAGGAGGTGTCGCAATGCACCAAACATGATGCGAACTGCAGGCAGCTAGCGGATTCAATTCGAGGTTCAGCAGATGCTCATCGAATCCTTAGAGAAGGAGAGGAATGCCCCTCGCGTACTGCCGGGCCCCTGGAGATTGTGGGTGGCCGTGGACTGTCAAGTGGTCGAAGCAGGTCTGAGCTGCCGCCTCCGACGGTCATTGCAAGAAAAACCGAGCAGCTTGCAGAACAGTCCTTGGATTGCGGGGCGGCTCTGCTCCTCTCGCGCGTCCAGAGCCCAAGCTGTGTGTCGCGACTGAGGAGTCGCCACTTGGCCAGTTCAGCCTCTTGCAGAAGCTCAGAACTGAGAGAGCTGAGACATGTGGACTGACACCTTGAAAGGGGTCCCCGTCCTGACGCTGCGCACCGTTTTAAGGAAGACAGGTGGCAAAATCTTGGCGAAGCAGCTGAGCATCCCAGATGATTCGAAATTACTGAGAGTCGGTGGCTCATGTGCTTGGATCGAAGCGTTTGGATCCAGCTTGTGATGTCAGGCACGGCAAGAGACTGTGGAAGAAGCTTCGCGTGAGCGTGAAGATCTCAAGAGGCCCGCGCGGAAGCGGCTGCTCCGACGGCTAACGTCTGTCCTTGCTGGAAAGGTTTGTCATGCAGTACGAGGAGACTGGATCAGGCAGGGCTTGAAAAAGGCTCCGAGGCTCCACAGATGCAACGTGCATTGACATGAAGACAAGGCTTAAAAGTCGTGTCACAGGTGACGCCTCAGGTTCCGTTATCCCAATTACGGCGCGCAGCCCGGTTGGTTGAGCCCGGTGGTGTGGTGAGGTCATGTAGGTCCCACGTTGCTCAGATGTTGCTTCGCCTGCTCGGTCTATCCAAGGGCCATGCAAGCCGTAGGCCGCGAACGTATCCAGACAGAATAAACAGACCTCGGCAAGGTCGGGAAGAGTGCATTGATGGGGTCTGAGCAGCTTCGAGCAATCTTCACAAGCCGAATCCAAAGCGGTATCCTGTTCAGCGGTGCTGAAGCGGAGCCAATCTCTGCCAGCATGGCCAGCCATGGGCCACTGCTCCTCACGTGGGTGCCAAGCCGACTTTTGCGACCGCAGATCTACGAATGATGGGAGCTCCTTGCATGCAAATCACATGGGTGAACTTTAATAATGACTGCAGAAATGCCAAAGAAGCAGCGGCGATTCCTGGAGGCGCAAGACTGTCCCCGTTGGATGAAGTGGAGATGCAGGATCAGAAGGGGCAGCAGGACCCGGGTCGCAGTCCGGTCCGTTGGCAAAGGACCTCCAGCATGTCGCCGATGTCCAGGATGATGCGCTTGGCGATGAACTTCCCAGAGAGCTTGCCGGCGCAGTGTTCGCAGCCACGTCTTCAAAGGTGCACTCGTCGCTCGAGCGGTTGCAGATTCGCAAGAGCACGACCCTCAGATCTCTCGCATGGTTTTTGGGGCACTCGTGTGGTGACGGGGCATGCGGCACCAGAGCCAGAGGTGTCTCTAAGCTTGACGAGATGGAAGCAAAGATTAGGAAGGAAGGTCTGGTGCAAACTTCGAGCCAGGCTGGACGGCGGAAGGTTCGTTCTTGGTAGCTCAGTGACCGCCGTTCTTGGCTCAGTAACAACTGCCGAAGGTCTTGGAATCTCGACCGGAAGAATTCTTCATTCCGCCGGGAGAACCCTGGGAGATGTGTGCATCAGAAACATGCGAAGGAGAAGGCCTGCCGAAACCAGATGCAAAGTTGTAAGAGTTGAAGCGAGGCTTCGCTTGACAGGTTGCGCAACTCCGCAAACTTCCACATCTCTCGAGCCCGAAGATTGCATCCCAAAGGCAAAGGCGAAGGCTTTCCTGGCAGGTCCCTGGCGACATGCTTTGCTTTAGCTACAGTATCTTCAGTTTTCTTTTGGATAGGGGCGTGTTTCATGTTCTCTGTTCTGGTCGTTCTCATTTGCGGAAGGAAGACGGTTCCCTGTCTTTCCAGACGAGCCTTCACCGATTGCGCTCCTTGGTCCCAAAATTTGGCCGGCGGCAAGCTGGACTTGACAGCTGTGTGCCGTTGTGTCCGAAACAGACTGCTAAGGATTGTTCCTCCGCCACTGGAGGAAGACGTCGGTGAGGGTGCCAGAATCAGAAATTCCGCGGCCAGCCCGGCCAGGGCAAGTGAAGCCTTGACCGGCGCCAATCCAGGCACCTGGGCCACTTTCAGACTAGTTTCATGGTTCATGGCGAAACAACAGGGGCTGTACGGACTTTACATGACTTTACCATGATAGCCTTGGTGTGCATCTCGCGATCCTCTCTTCTTCTGTTCTCGTGAAGCGCCATTGTCGCCATCGCTACTCGTACAGTACTCTTGCGGGTCAAGGTTTGATGCACCTTTCATGTGTTGGCTCTACAAGATCGAACTGGGATTGAGGTGCTGGCCTGGACAGCATCAGCGTGGCCACTGGAAGGCGTGAGGGCAACCTGCCCTCTGACACCACATCCGTCCCGTCTGAGCCAGACCTGGCACAGTCTGATCGCATCTGTCCGGAGGGAGAAACTTGCCGTCCGGATGTAGCTTCCCGGTAGATCCTTGCATACACTGCCGCGCGCAAGCCACGTGGATGGACGAAATGCGCAAACTCTTTCCACAATGCTGCTGTTTCTGACTTTGCCGCAAGCTGCTACGAGTGTGGCCTCGGGCACTTGATGTACACGCGCCCGCGCTCAGAGTCGATCTTTGAGCGAGGTACGCACAAGGGCCGGGAAGGGTGGCCGCAAAGGAGGCTCACGGTGTCGAGCTCAATTGACAAGGCTCTAAGGAAAGAGAATTTGCAGAGGGCTCTGGGGGCACCGAAATCTAATTAGGCAGCGTGATGGCGACTACCTCAAGGACGAAGCAATCAAGGTGGAAGTCACAAGCGTCAACCACGACCACGTTGTGCAGGAAGAGCTGACTCCTGAAGAGTCCCGGGCAGAGCCATCCGGCACAATGATGGGAGGCAGGAGATGCGCACATTGAGGGTGCACGTGGGCATCTGCCTCCTTCTTGTGTATGTGCTGCCAAGTGTGCACTTGTGAGGGGGAATCCTTGTCCGCTACGCCAGCAAGGGCAAAGGGAAGGCCGTTTCTTCGCTTGCAGTGTCGTCAGCTAAGAGCTATGATAGAATCTATGAGTGTTCAGGCAAGCAGCCTGTGCCTCGGTTCCTGGAATGTGCTTAGCTCCTGGTCTGTTGGCGCCTGCTTATCAGACCGGACAAGATCGCTTTTTGATGTAGGAAGGCCACTTTTGCGAAGAAGCGCTGCGCAAAGCCAGAACATGAATGCGTCGACTGGCTGGCTTGGCCAGCATGAGTGGATGACACGGTCCCCTCACTCGAAGGAAACCCCCGCCGCAAGAAAGGTCTGCTCAAGGCATGTAGGAAATGCTGGTCGTGTTTGAGAATTATCAGGCTCTGCCTATTCAGGACTCGACGGCTCGGAATCAAAACCGATTCAGCAGGCCTCAAAAACGTGCAACTGCATGCAACTGCGTTCATCTCATCAGCAGACGGCGCGCGCTACCTTGAATGATCTGGTGAAGTTGCAATCTTCGCACATTGGCACCCGAGGCAAGGGCAAAAGTAAAGGCTCAGCACCGGTGCGGCTTGCTGCGTGCGGGGCTGAATCCACAAGCATGGGCTGCAGCTCCTTGCAGTTATGCTTACCGGGTCTTTCGTTCGATGCACTGATTCCGATAGATTCCCAGCTTCTGTCAATAACTCATCAGGCGTGGTACGCCAAGTGATGCACCGAAGCAAGAGTTGTTCTCGGCTTAGCTTCGGCAGACTGCTGCTGATGCAATTGGCTCATGTTGGCATGCTGGTCAATCCAGGTGAAGAAGTCGTCTGCGCATTGTTCTGGAACGGGGCCGATAGCTTGGTGCGACATTGCATTCTCGCGCCAGCCAAACTGCCTTCCATTGTGGTTCGGCACACGTGCACAGTGGGCTCCTGTTCCAAAGCGTTTGTTATGAGACAGTGGCCATAGACTGACTGAAGTGTGCGCTTGGCTCGAGCTGTGCATAGTACGTACACGTCTTGCTGATTGCCATGACGCTTGAGCTGCCGCGACGAAATCAAGCTTGCTCGTTTGTTCCTGTCCATGCTGGGCTCTACGTGCGGAGCTATCCTCACCCGTGCAACGGCCGGATCTGTTCATGGTTGCGCGGCTGGCACCAGCCTAGTTTTGCCTCCAGAGTTCCAGTGGTGCCGTCGTTTCCATGACGGCAAAGATTCGTGGCTGTCTTTACCTCGAAGCGTTTTGAGCCATTTGCGTGGAGAAAAGTCATCCCATCGAGCAGTGCAGCTGCAACCCGAAGGTGCCAAACGAAAGCGTTTGGTGAAGTTCCATAGCGGTTGTTGCTTGCAGCACCAGGGACTACATGCGCAGTTTGCTGGAATCGTAGCTTGTTTTCTCAGCTTTTCGGCTGTAAGTTGTCACAATGTAGCTTCTGGTTCGGAGTTGCTGAATCAGGCACCCTCTGTCGGTAGTAGCTTCGTCGCTGGGCCTCCTCAATTGAAGCCAACGTCTCGAGGAGGCCGAGGCAGACAGCCGCCTCCATGGCCAATGAGGAAGGCAGGCTCTTCGACGGATGTGTGCTGCACAATCTTGCTTTAAGAGCAGGCAATGGCTCCACCGTTCCCCCGGCCGCACAACGAGACCAACACATATCCCTCAGCTCTGAAGCTACGGAGTTCAGGCCCATTTGGCCGCCGAAGAAGACGAGCTTGAGGGCAACGATTTCCTGGCAGGATCCTCGTTGGTGACGGAGGAATATGCAACATATCTTGCTTTCGTGTTCTATGCCGTGCTGTTAAGGTGAAAGACCGTTCGTGCTTCCGTCGCAATCTGGACCGTATGTCAGCTTGACGTTCAGCCGCTGCATGCTGCTTCGATTGGCAGCTTTGCGTATGAAGTGCTCATGTGAATGGAAGCGAGGTGCACAGATTGCTGGTGCATTCTGGTCTTCCTTGCTGCACTAGCAGTTTTCGTGTTCGTGACATTCCTCGGCCTGCAGGCCGGTCTTATTGATTGCTCACACAGGAGGCATTCACAGGAGTGGCAGCAGGATGGGAATCCTCGGAAGCTATACCTACCGCGCGACTACAGCGGCAGCTACTGCGATGCTGATTCCAACTGGGGGACCAACTACAATCTGAGCCTTGGCAGGGGTTCAGCACCACAGACACGCCATGCAGACTCGCACTCGCATCGTCCAGGCAGGGCTTCCCCTTCCTGAGCTACACCATGAACGTCACGTGGCTCGGCACAACAGGCCAGCCGCAGTTCGAAGTGGGCGGTTGGCAACAACTTCCGAGGTCTACGACGGATTTGGTCGTCAAAGAATTGTGACTTGGTTGAGCCAGTGGATTTCGCCACCAGGAGTCTCCTTATGTCAGAGGCGGTCACCGTTAGCCGTCGGACTTTTGGCGATGTAAGGATCTGCTCGTATGCAGCCCGCGATGCTTTGGTCGGTGGTTCTAGCCCACTGCTGACAAGCACGTCAGAGCAACAGGCGCCAGTGTTCTTATACCTAGAGGAATTGATGCGAGCAGTTGTTCGAGTCTTGTCTACTCTTCTTGCTTACTGAACAGCGGAGGCATATCTATGCCATTGCTGCCTTGCGCCTTGTGCCAAGTGTACGGGCAGCTACAAGACGGAGAAGCTACAGAGTGGGGGCATTCAGGTGCGTAGTTACTCTGCTCGCTTTGTCTTCCCTGGCTGTTTCTTCTGCTTGGCACGGATTCGGAGTTTCCTTTCTTGCTCCCCTGCGGTGGGATAGGGGTTCAAAAACGTCTCCCCCTGTCCCCGACCTAAAATCCCCAGTAGGAGCGTCGTACCTCCATTACCGGCAAGAGCCCTCTGCTACAGAACTACTGCCTCTGCTGAATCCGCGAGGGGCTTCCACACATTTTTTGAGCACAAGAAGAGAGACACGCACACTTACGACAAAAATGGAAGTTTGCACAACACACGTGGTAGTTCATGTACTTTCATCGAAGGTAGCCCTTCCCAAAGGGGTCCTTGTCCATGGTTTTCGGGACACAAATCATGTTTCGTGCATGGGATGTACTTAAGAAGGTGTTGCCCAAGCATACAGTAGTCAACTAATCCTGGGCACTGCGAGCGTTCATTCCTGTCTGTGGCGGCACAACCTGCATTGCAGCAGTGATGTCGCCCGCGCGATGATGAAAAGCGCCCACTCGCATCATGGAGAGTAGTCAGGCAGAGTGATAAAAAGGGAGGTTCATCTCCAACTGAACTTGATTCGATTAACCGTTGCCTTTGGTTTCCTTTCGGCTTCATTTCTCGTTGAAGTTGGCTTTCTGCATTTCTTCTTACGCCATTTTCCTTTGTATGTTATGCTTTTTATGGGTATCTGTCCGTCTTGCTTTTTGCTCGATTGCTTCCAGCTTGTGCATTCTGCTTTGGCTTTGGCTTCCGCCTTTACAGAAGTTTGCTTTTTTGCTTTGTTGTTGTTTGTTACTTTGCTGCTTTTCGCTGTCTGCTTTCGGTTGCTGTAGCTTCTGCTCTTGCTTCCGCCTGACCGTCTTGAGTTGTTGTGCTCACGCCACTCCCGCCGCTTGTTTCAAACCATCCGTGAAGAACCTCATCATAGGATTGCTGAAACCCGAGAATGCAGCGGGAGCTGTTGGGCAACAGGAAACAAAACAAGCAATCACGAACGTGTTGAATTCATTCCCAAACGCTTTCAAGCCGATGGGTGGTGGTGGGTTTTTGCCATGGACAACTTCTGACAAGGCTTGCACTACGCTACTCATGCTCATGATGCTGGCTACGTGCGCCCAGCATCATCAGCATCATCGGGTCGTTGCTTCTCGATTTCTCTTGTGCATCAGCATCCTGCGATCGCCACTTCTTGCTTTCTCTTATGTTGGCCTGGGTGTTTGTGTTTCTCGTTCGCACTGCTGCCTGACATCTGCACGGTGATGGCCGCCCGCTCAGTGCTAGCAGGAACATTGTGGCTTTGTTTGGGTATTCAATGACGCCCACGCTGCTGCACAATCATAATTATTTGGCTCTAGCGAGCTTTGGGGTGCATGCTGCACCTGGCCCAGCACATTGAAGAAAGGATCTGCTTGTGGCCCCAAGCTTTGGAGAGCGTAAGTCCTTAACCCTGGCCCTAGCAGGGTTGTGCCAGATGCCGGCGGTGGTGGACCGTTGAACCTCAAGCGGCGTGTATTCCGATAGCGACCAGCTCCAAAACGCAACCCAGACTCTGAGGGCCAACCCGGTGCTAGCGCGGCGTGTCTCGGCCGAGAGCGACTGGCAGACTCGTTTTCGACCGTTGGGGGCTGAATGTATTTTCCAGGCGGTCTGCGGCGGACAACCGGTCGTAGAGTACCACCAAAATCGGCTGAAATTTCTGGGTTTCCCATCGGCAGACGTCATTGAAGAACAGATCGGGCACTCCCAAATGACACTGGAGGCATGCTGCGCGTGCCAACCCCTTGGGACGACATACAGGATAGCGCCTGTCCAGGGCTTGGTGCCGCGGGCAGACCTTTGCACCAATACGGCACTGCAACAAAATGGGCTGATGCTGCAAGCATGTGTGCCACCACTGAACTTTCGCGATGAGGACTCTGGCAAGTCGTCCTAGCATGATCCAACTCATGACAGTCATGCTGCTGCAGCTTCTGCGCATCTTGCACTCTAGAGAATATCGTTTCGAGAGGGCTGCTGAGTAAGCCAGAAGCTGAAACCCAGCGCTCACCCTAAGAATGCCACCAAGAGAAACAGGTGCATTACCAGGGGCAGCTGCACGTGTGATGCAGCCGTGGTTGTGCTGCCAGTTCTGCACTCTGCAAACAGGGGACCATCTCTGGCAAGATGTCTGAGATTACCGGTCTGGGAGGGGACCTCTTCAGTCCCAGTGGCTCCAACGGCTTCTTGGCGGCATCTTCCTTGCCCGAATAGCTGCAAGAGGGCACGTGCAGAGCGGCTCAGCAAAGAGGCGAGCTCTTTACCGAGATCTGGAGCGAGGCCACGATGCAACCCGCATTAGAAAGAGGAACTGGCGTCTCATTTTCCCATGTTGCAACGCCATTGAATTGTTGCTTATCATCTCAGGCTTGTGGAACCTGCTTTGCAGTTGCAGTGTCTCGATCTGTCTTATCCAAGGTACTTCCACATGGTCTGTCTTCCCGACTGTTCCACGAGTCTTGGACCCAATGCATTCGATCGTCAGCCTGCCGCTAGAAGAATGCAGATGTCACAGATTTCACAGTAGCTCTGTCATTGTACGTATTCGCCACAGCTTCTACACAGCGAGTCGGCTGAAGCTTCAAGCACATCTCAGGAGTTTTGCCACACTGAACGGGACCAACACCGCCCGACGGTGGACCTACGAGATGGCCACACCCTCAGTGTTCTGAGCTAAGAGGAAGCCTCCTGAGCCCCCCGTCCACGCAACGGAATTGCCTTGCCGCTTTGGGATTGAGCGAAACTTGCTACATTTGTTTTGCTTCATCCTGCGTCGCCAAGGCGCCTGACGACCCTCTCGCGACCTACTGGGCTGTGCTGCTTGGTTGTGAATTTATGTGTGCACCTAGCCATGCAGCCACCGAAAGCTCACAGTCCTTGCGCATCAGATGCACAACAGGAACCTTTTTTGAACAGGATCTTGCGCAGGCAAGTCGCTTTCGGGGACGACACACGTGCCCAAGAACCTGTGCAATAAGTTGTTCTCAAATCTGTGATCGGGATGCGAAGCCTTCGCCCCGCAGCCTGCGCAAGTCCCGGCCCTTGGAAATGTGCTGGAGCCTTGGATGCTCCGACCGGAAAAGCGGTTCCCGATGATTCTGGAGGAGCGCGTTTTAAACTTTGCTTCACCAGATTGAGAGCCTTAGGTTGAAGACTTCCGGACCACCGGAGATCCAGGCACACACGCAGCTGTGTGATGTCCTTGCTGCCTTTTCCCTGTGGCTCCAGTCTGGGAGGCCACGATCAACTCATCCTTTACCTTTCTGGCACTTCCGGAGTCTCTTTGTCCCTACCCTGCCTCGAGCCATGGCAGCACGGCGCCCCGAGCAAAGCAGCTCTGGTAGGCCCTTAGACGATTGAGCTTGTCCAGCCACGCGAGCAGGAAATGTATACCAATGCCGGGTGTGGAGCTCACTGAGGGCATGTGGCTTGGCATGCATTGGTACAACTGCACGCATACTGCCGTTTTCGAAAGCTTGGCTCCGAGCACTTGTGTGATTCCAAGGCCGGGGCATTGCAGCAGCAGCCTCAGCTCCTTACCGACACGGGTGGCACGTCGTCTGAGAATTTTGGCCCTGGACTCGTTTCCATGAATGTTGTCGAGCTGTCCTTTCTGATTTCGATATCAATGTGTGATCCTCTGTTCCATTATAGAGTGCTTGCAGCAAGCGGTCGCGTATTCTAGGAAGCCCTTGAATGGTTCCCAACCGAACAGGAGCATTTAGTCGGATCGTGTATGGCAAGTGCCACTGAGCATGCAGACTCCGAGACGACAGGCACGCACAGTGAGTTTGTGGCCCGGCCCGGCCCGATTCATCATCACTGCTAGCAGGCTGGCGGTTTGCTATGTAGGCTTGGAAAACAAGGCAGAAGACAGCGCACAAGACAGCAGACACAGCGTAGTGCTCGTGCGTGGCACCGGGCTGGCAGTTCTTGGGCCCTTAAGTGGCTCTAAGGCTCTAAGCAGCTCAAGCAACAGGGGCACTGTGCCGAGTCGACTCTGGCCTTCTAAGGCTTGGGATTAACCACCACAGCTCAAGACCAACTTGGCGCTGCTTTGTCGGATGCCTTCGGAAGCCTTGGATCCCAGGTGGCCACGGGTTCAATCTCTCCCAGCTTCTGCGAAGCCTCATCTAGTGTGGCAGGCTTTCCAAGAAGAGCTCGCCTCTTTCCAGACCTTTGGCAGCCTTTTCGGCGAGGCTTTCAAAACAGGCAGAGCTCGGGCAGCCGTCGGATGTGAGAGCGACCGGCTTCAGAACTGTGCCGTCAGGCGATACATTTGCTGCCACAGCCGCATCTTGGCTGGAGCTTTCGTGAGCTCCGATGGAACTTGGTTTGGGCCGCACGAGGCGTCGTGCCTCATCATCGGCTTCGTCTACATCATCCTCCTTCGCTTCCTCGTTGGTGTTTGCAACCTGGCGGCCGCGGTGTTTGCTCCGTCGAGACGGCTTGTCAAGAGACGGAAGCACTGCTTCGAGCACACTTCCAACACACCCAGCCAAGAGCATAGAGATCAGCTGCAAACATCACGCGACCAGAGAAGCCAATGCCCCAGTGATTGTTGCTTCAGCCTTCACGGACCACGGGTTCCCACTCCCCAACAGAGACAGTGCAAGGCCAGGGAAGGTTGAGAGATGCATGCCCAGGGATTAACCAAAATGGTTCTTTGAGCACAGCAAGCCGAGTGCATATGCACATGTAACATGTGACAATGTGTAGGCATACCTACGTTGGAACGATGTTACGCCAGCTTGAGGTGTGTGGACAGCGCTACTTGCCATGTGCCTCGGCCGACATGCACTGTTGCAGCGGCAAGCGGCCACGCATGCCTTTGCAGAGGCTTCTGCTCTTTGCTCTGGGTGGTGGCATTGTGTATGCTAGCTCAAGCACGATCCTGAGTGCACATCCAGATCGTGCGTGAGAGTTTTCTTCGCATGATACAGTTTCGTCCCTGCTTGATTGAAGCAAGGCCAATGCCAGGGGACGGACTTGCTGGACACCTCGTACGAAATGGCAATGGCTGCTGCCACGCTCCTTGCTTGCAGTGGCAATGGCGGCATTGCTGCGCCGAGCACGTTCAGCAAACTTGGTCATTTTCGGATTGAAGTGCAAGCTTTGAGAGGCGATTGCCCGGGGATGCCCCTTGCCTGTGCCGTGCTGCAGGTCTGTACAGCAGTATTCGACCACGCTCGTGCAGCAGACCCTTGAAGGCGAGTCTTGGGAGGCCTGCGATGCCATGCTGTGAGTACGCTATGTCTTTCCATGTTACGTAGATGCTAGTAAGACGGGACAGACTGTGGAAGTGCCGCTTGGAGATGGCACCCTAGGTTCCAAGCGAAGTTCTGATAGGCGACGGAGCCAACTACGCAGGCACCTTGGACACTTCTATGACAATCACCCAGTGGCAAAGCTAGCATGGCCTAGCTGGCCTATTGTGTCGATGCAGGCATGCAAAGACGAAGCGTGGAAGGATATAACTGCATACAGCCTGTGCCTCATTATCATATGATTGTTGAGCAGCTGTTCCCCACGACAGAACTCCAGGGAAAACCTTTTTGTTCATCTGGCCTGAGACACGCCATAGTGGCAGGGCTTTGGCACAAACTGTGAACCACGAAGGAGGCTTCGGCCAGTGCTGTCCCGCGCTTGACCCAACATGCCGCTACAGGTGCAGTGCTGCGAGATAACAGCAACTGATTGGTAAAGGCGACCACATCAGTGCCCGAGTGTGCTGTTGTAAGCAGAAACTGGCTGACAAGAAGCGGAGATGTTCGGTTAGACACCTCGGAGAGCGTGTCGACCAAGAGAGACTCCGACGACCTGACCTTGACTCTTTGACGGGCTTGTCTTGAGGTGGGGCTTGGCGAACACCCTGGCAGAGAACTACTCCCAGGCACGCAGCTGTAAGCTCAGAGTTCAGACCATTCGGAGGTCGGGGGTCGCCTTTGGTATCATGTTCACGACGTGAGCACATGACCTGCTACTGGGTACTATGCAGGAGAATTTGGGTCGCTATAATGTTAAAGCGAATCTCTGCGGTCGTGTAGCTGCTTTTGTTTGGATTGGCCTGCCTGTGGCGCAGAGCTGTGCTTGAACGTCGGGAAATCATATTGTTCCGACTGCCAGGCGAATTTCCCAGACTCCAACCTGACTGGCAATTTCTGTCCGGGCCTCAGGCCCGGCTGTGGCGGATACTGAGATGTAGCTTTTTGTTTTGAGGTCGGAACCCGTACAATACAAGTACAGCCACGGACGAGACAAAGGCTGGTCGGGGCCGGGGCAGCCGAGGGGCCTCTGACTTTCTCAAGCGGCTGCTCGAGGCCGGTACTATCTGGTGCTTCACTGCAGATGAGAAAGTCACATGGCAAGAGTGCCGCCCTATTGGCGTGATCCGACCTCTGTGCCAGAATGGAAGCCAGGCTGAATAATCTCCTGGCATGCCGAGAAGCAGAAGAGCTGGGATGGGCAAGAGGCTACTTTGATCCCACCTTCGCCTGAGGCTATGCCGTGCCTGATGAGGGAGTCCGTCTCCTGCTGGAGCGCCTCCGCATCATGGGGGAAGCCCGCGCAGCGCATGAAGCGTATGAGCATCTGGGTTTGTTCCTTGAGGTACACTGCATATGTGCTATGGGTCCTCGGCGGGTTATACTTGTGCCCTTTTTGCATTAGCTACCTCGCCGAATCATGGTCAGTCGCCTGTGGCCGTGGTGGTCCGCTCAAGTTGTATAATGCTGGTTCAGGTTCACTGAGCAGAGACATTCTCACGAATTTGGGTTGATTCGCCTGAGGTTTCTGGTGCTGTGCTTTTGCGGTCGAATTCGGCTAGCAATTGCCGTGAATAAAGTCGCCGCGATCTTCGTGGCCGCGACCTCGAGTATGGCACTGACTTTGATTCGTTGATTCCGTGCTGCTTGGTTTTCCGCAGAGGCCCAAACGCCACAAGTCATGCTGGTGCCTGTGATCCAGGCATGGAGGGCGAGTGGTGCCATAGTATTTGCTTCACTGAAATATGCGTTTTGCTAAAAACTCCTGCAGGCTCTGGTGGCAGTTCTGTGGATTGGCCTGTGGATTTTTTGTTCCTCCTTTCTCTTGTCCCAAGTGCCGGAAGATTACACACCAAAGGAATCTCGGACTTTCAGACTTGGGTGTCTGCGTCTACCTGTGCTGCTGCCGCAGTTCTTTCAATTCCTCGTTTCTGAGTTGTTCGTTGGCCTGAGGATGCTTATGCCACATACGCCGAGGCCAGTTCAATTCGAGTCCTGTTGGAACGGATCGTTGTGACTAGCCCTCCGCATCAGTCGGATTTCGTGTATGAATTGCATGCCACGCGAAAGGCTTTCGGAACACCGGACACGCCGGGCAGATGCACTGACAAGTGGCCCACGGGCTTCACCTACAAGGAACCGTGCTTGAGGACATGCCGGTCTTTCCAGCTCTCCGAATCTGCAGACAGGACGACGACAACTGCGCCAGCGTGAATGGGACTGTTCATTGCTGGAAGCACTGTGGCTAAAGTGGAGATGCCGGTCAGCCTGTGAAGAACTTGGCGAACTGAGGTGTGGCCAACCACGTTTCGCCTTCGACTGGCGCTTTGCGTGTTCGTTCTTCGTTTTTCTGTGGAATAATGCGGCTTGTCGAGCAATGTGGTATGAATATCAGGCAATCCAGAGCGGTAACAAACAACGCCGAAGGTACTAGAGTGCTCCTGTTAGGTTGCTTGTTCACAGTTTTCCACGTGATGCCAGTTTCGAAGCGCGTGAATCATGTGGGAGTTCGCCTGCTTGATATTTATGTGAGCATTGGCATTCCCTTCTGAGGCGTTGAACATAGCACTTGGTCAGTTCATAATTGCTGCATCAGCAACTGGCCAGCAAATTGGTTGTGGATCCTGCATCGATTTTCGCTTTGATCCAGCCTTTGATGGATGAGTTTGCCGCTTTGAGGTGGCAGCCTGGTTTTTCACTCCGAACCGATTGAAAGGAAGACGAGGAGCCCGGACAGTCGTAGCTATCAATATCCGTAGCTTCGGCTGAATGTTTTGCATGATTTCTACCCAAGCTTTATTCACATGTTCATGACTCACTATCGACAACTTGCATGACCGTCACGGTTTGCTTCATTCTTAGCATCTTTGCCATTGTCAGCATGGGCGCTACTAGCATCTGTGTTAGTGTTAAGCCTTTTCGGTCGTACGCACGTTTTACGCATGACCGCAAACGCATCATTCGCCAATCGCCGGCGAAACGCCAAGCACTCTCGTTCAAAGGTAGAGAATCAACTTACGAGAATCCATGCTGAAATCACGATTTCCCGGCCCAGAGACCCTAAGCAACTGGTCCTGTTGTTGCAGTAGGCAATGCTTTTGAAACTTGACGGTGTATGTGTCAATGCACTCAGTACTAGCAGATCCCAAACCAGAAAGTCGTGTCCAGGTTCTGCATGCTACATGGCACAGCAGTGGCAAGCTCCGGGCCCAAATCATTGGCAGCACGTTCGTCTGCCGCCGCGCCGGGTGTGTCGATTTCTTGGCTGGCAT